GTTATACATAATAAAACCAACAAACCTACAACAACAACACAGCAAACATATACAACACATCTGGTATCTACTTAAATGCTCTGACTGTGACAGCTACTACATTGGACAAACCTATCGAAATTTTAAAGTTAGATTCAACGAACACATAAAAGCATATAAATTGAAGAACCAAACATCAATAAAATCAAATTTTGCAGATCATTTACTAAATTCCAAGCATAAGTTTACTAATTTTGATGAAAATTTAACAATATTAGAAATTGAAAAAGACATAGCAAAATTTCATGTAAAAGAAGAAATTAATATTTAAATCGAATATATAAAATAACTTACAGTGATTCCAAAATTAAATAATCCAATATATGAAACAATAGCAAAATTGAGAAAATATTAATGAAAATAAATACAAACATGTCATATAGTATGTAAATTAATCAATGAAGATAAAATTATGTTACAAATTAGACAAGTTTTATAATATCATATGCTATTTATTTATTTACATATTTTATTTTGATTTTTGAGTTCGCGAACCAGCATGATCGGACCATAGGAACAGAGTTTAACGTTTTATGGGGTAAAAATGGGGTTTTCTCATTTTTTACCCTTAAAACACAAAATTTATCAATTTTTCTTCAGACCTTTTTATAGAGCTTAAAAAACAAATAATTTAGTATATCAAAGTGTTTTTGTATGGTGATTGGTTACAGAGAAAATTTAAAAAGTTGTTAATTTAAAATTCCCATGTTATTATTATGGAGAATATTGTAAAATGTTGTAGTTGGCTTGTTTATGGATATATTTTGATCAAACTTGGTGGATAAAAAAAAAACCCTAACCCAGATGCAAAACGAGATAAAGAAGCACTAAAATCAATCAGAGAAAAATTAATTGAAAATAACCCCTATGAAAAAGTTTATATATGGCCATATATAATTTTTTTTGTCCGGTTATATTTGGTTTTGGACCAAATATAACCAGATACGATCATATATGGAATCCCCCATACATGGACATTTTTTCATAAAAAATATATAAATGAATAAAAAAAATTACAATTAAACATATTTTTACATCAAATGGTATCAACTATGCATTAAAACTATAATAAAAATTTTAAACTCAAAAATTTCAAAAGAAAACTTTCAAACATCCGACCGAGGGTCGAACCCAGGACTCGAGCGTGAGAGTCCGCCCCTTAAGCCACTACACCACAACCGCTTCGTGTAAGTTAGCTCACGGATACCCCATTACAAATAATAGTAGCTGTATTTGGTCTCGTAAACAAGACTTCTTTGACACTTTATGTAATTTGAAGAATGTTATCTATACTTATTTAATACGCAAGCAGATTTTTTGTGACAACTACTCCTCCGAAACTACTGAACCAATTGTCATGTTTTTGGTGTCGTTGGAAAGAGCGTAACGTGAAGTTGTGCAGGAAACTTTCTTTTTAGGGAAATAATGAGAGAGTGAGGCCCTGGAGCCCTTTTAAGTTTTGTATTTCTCCATAAGATTAACATTGGAAACAAAAATTGTTATGAAACTTCAGCTGTTGTCAGAAATCAAAAGTGAGAAGAAGAGCATATGTTAATTGTAAACAGTCAATAAGTTTGCTAATTTAACAAGTTTGCTAAAGATATTTGCTGACTTGGTTGAAATTCGTTTTAAAATAACGAATTGCTCGAATTCGAGCAACAGGGACACTAGTTATTAATATAGCCTAACTAAGTGACATTGATATTTGATAGCAAAGGTCCCACATAGCACAGAATATTTATTTGATATCAAATAAACGTTCAATATATCAAACTATGTCAAATCAAAAATTTGATATTTATTTGATATTCATTTAATGTTCAAAATGTCAAAGTCAAACAATATCAAACTTTGAATATTTATTGTATCTTCAAAATATCAAAGTCAAATAACATCAAATTTAGAATATTATCTAAATATTCTTATTGTTAAAATTTTGATTTTCTCTTTGAAAATTTCCAAATATACTAGTTTTAAAAAATTTTAGATTTAACTTTTTAAATTTTTTAGAGTAAAGAATTAGTCCCCAGCCTACAGGGGCCCATTTCATAATAAACTACAAGTTACAACTTGTAACATGGAGGTCGGAGGTCAATTATCTCAAAATAATTAATAATAGGAAGGAACACTGAACACTGTAATTTTTAATTAATTGATGATGGATTTTGATTTTTCGCGGGGGGGGGGGGGTTGTTGGAACATCTGATATTTTTCTGAATCTAGGCTTACTACACATTTCAAGAAGAGTGAATAGGAAACACAGCTTTTTTAAAAGTTTTGTTTATTAATAAAAAAGTCAAACTCTTAACGATTGGCCTTATCATTTTATTTTTACTAGTAAATTAAACCAAACGTAAATTTAAATTTTTTTAAGTGTAATATAACTCTAAAAATATGTTAAGTATCTAGTTTGAGCTTGACCTGGCCCATTCGTATGAAAGGAAGAGAGGAAGACTGAAGACAAAACACCAACTTAATTCTACAGCGGTCGCAATGAGGGGAGGACTCGTAGTAGGACGATGACGTCATTAATTAGTTCAAATTTGTTCCACGGGCAGCACTCTAGTCAGGTAGCCGACACCGTTATGACGTCATCAACTTTACTTTTTTTTAGGCTTGATGTTGGTTGATACATCGATCGGTGCAGCAGAAGACAAGAGTTGAGTATTAATTTTAGTATTTTTATTATAATTGCAAGATTTCTGTTACTACTGACACTAACTTGCTTTGTGCTGCTTATTATCAGTTAGGCATAGTTCATAGTTTGAATTGGCATTACTTACAACAGTATTTATTATTGCAAGATTTCTGTTACTAAGTTACTGACACTAACTTGTTATTTGCTACTTATTTATCAGTTAGGCATAGTTCATAGTTTGAATTGGCATTTGAAGGCATTACAACAGTAAGTTATTTAGAACTTTCAGCCTCATGAAGGTCTCATCACCTAAACAAGGTATTGCTGGAGCTGCCTGCTTTTTGCTGTCTTGTAATGCGGAGCCGATTCTAACAGTAGCGAAATTGTTAAAACTTTGTATTGTATTTTCGGAAATAAAGACAGTGCTTTATACAAACTGTCTTGAAGATAAGGCAAATACTTACTTAACTTAGGCCTATTAAGTTACAACTTAGGTTTTAATCGTAGGCCTAACTGACGGATGTGGTTCAGATTTTATGAAATGCAAGTGGCTCGTCAAATGTTCTTTTATAAAATAAATTACCAGGGCCTAAAATTAAGAGTAGGCTCTGGCAAAGTATATACACATTTAAATTGTTTCAGGTAACATATAGGGCACGAACACTTGTCGGTAAGTATACCTTAATACCTCCTTCTTCGTCTTTTACCCACAATGTGGGATTGACAGCGTCACTTTAACACGATTACTAATACAAAAAACAATATTTACAACTATTTACATACTTCCGGCAGGCTACAGGCTTCTTAAATCATCCCCTAAATACTCTGAGATATCGTAATAGGCCCGGCTCTTGATGAAAGTGGTTAACACTGCCTCAAATGTTCTCAAGTCCAACAACTGGATATGTCGTGGCAGCTTATTGAACAGACTTATGGCTGACACACTATAACTAGCCTGGGTCCTAGATAGTCGCACCCTTGGTACATCAAGCTGATGGCGCTGCCTGGTGTTATACTGGTGGACGTCAACACGAGTGGTGAAGGTTGTTATATTAGCCCTAACGTGCACCAGACAGACAAGTATGTAGTGGCCAACTACAGTAAGCACACCAAGTCGTGCAAAGAGGGGTTTGCAATGAGCACGATACTCACTCCCAGTAATGATCCTTAATGCACGCTTCTGGAGCCTAAGCACTTCAACAACCTTTGGCGAGTGTCCCCAGAGAAGAAGACCATAGCTGACATGGCAGTGAAAGAGAGCATGGTACACCATCACCAAATATGCCTCCGTTACACAAAATTTCAGCTTGAAGAGGAGGAAACAGATCCGTGAGAGTCTGTTGGTGGTCTGGTCAATGTGATGTATCCAGCTGAACTTCCCATCAAGAACAAATCCAAGCAATTTAACTGGATCTTGAACACCAGGCTGATCTCTGGAGAGGCTGCAGATGATGTGCTGCGTCTTATCCTCGTTTAGTTGGAAGCAGTTTGCCAGAAACCAGACAGTTGTATCTTCAAGACGCTGTCTGGAGATGGCCAAAGCTTGATCGATGTTCGTACCAGCTGACAGGAGAGAAGTGTCGTCTGCAAACATGAGGGTAGTGCCAAGGTTGTCGAGATCGTTGATCATGATGAGAAAAAGGGTAGGCCCAAGCACTGAACCCTGGGGGACACCAAAATCAACTGGCAAAGTGCTGGAGACAGCTCTACCAACTGCAACGACCTGCGAGCGCCGTTCGAGGTAAGTACTCAGGATGGCAAGAGCGGCATCCCTGATCCCATAGAAGTGGAGTTTCCTTTTCAAGATGGAGTGGGAGACACAATCAAATGCTCTACTGATATCACAGAGAGTCAGAGAGAGAGCTTGGTGGTTTTCAAATGCATTTTCCACGCTTGCAGCAACTTTTGCAACAGCATCAACGGTTGACCTGCCCTTACGGAAGCCAAACTGCATATTCGAGAAGAGGTCAAGTCCCTCAAAAAATGCTTCAAGCTGGGGTTTTATGGTGGCTTCTACCACCTTTCCGAAGACAGGAGTTATGGAGATGGGCCGATAGCTATTAAGCCTCTGGTGGTCACCCTTCTTGTAAATAGGGACAGTTTTCGAGGTCTTCAGAAAGTCCGGGAAGACGCCACAACTAAGGCAGTCGTTGACAGCAGCAGCAAGTGGAATGGCGATGGCATCAATAGTTTTTTGAAGTATGTAGGTAGAAGCTACATACTACATGTTTTAAGTTAGCATAAAACAGTTTGATCGCAAGGGATGGATGAAGGATGAATAAATTGTATGACTAAGCCGATAGTGAGTTTGATCCAGGAAGCTCTGCGGGTGTCAGTATAAACTGGCTGTAGAACGACAAAGTTACTGAAGTGGCTCATTCAACTATGTCTAAAATGAATTAAAAATGGCTAGCGGACATGCATGTTTGGTTACATTAAGTCAAAGCATTATCTTGATCAATTTTAAGACTAAGTTAACTCACCTTTCACCTCTTTGAGACAAATGATATATGTTAACCCGATGAACTTGACCACCATTTTACCTAAAATTTATAGCCTATGCCTCGGCAAAAAAAATCGATAACTTATGTTTAACTTACACTAAGTTATTATTGTCTTGTTACAGATTCCTTGAAGGTGGCTCAACAAAATGCAAGGCATCAAAAGTAACATCTGATCAGTACGGTTCAAGAAGAAACGAGTGTTGAATTCTGATCTTTGTTTTAAATCAAGATTACACCTTATTTGGTAAGAACAGTTAATATATTATTTTGTAATCATATCCATGTGTGCATTAATGTCAATAGTGATAAGTCAACGGTAGTCTCTTGCTGGATCCCTTTTGGCTTAGCCAATCAAATACGAGATCACTGCAATGGTCAGAGCCGCTATCAATTTTTGCTGAAGCATCTGACAGTCAAGGCTTTCCTATAGTTTAATGATAGTTGGTTTACAAGTATGTACCAACATGTATTTGGGAAAAATTAAATCATGTTTATTCCAGCTAGAGAAGATTTAATTTACCATTTTAATAAAATTGTAGGCTATTGCAAAGCTATCCTCTTGAAAATGTTTCTTCAGGTAGTCACTCGTCACATTCAAAAATATGTAGGCTGCCTATAGACTATAGAGGATCAAGTAAATGTTTACCTAAATTTGTTAATGCCAACAACTTTTTTAGATTTATTTTTGATTTTATGATCTTAATCTTAATTCAACCCATCACTAACAAATTTGTGTTATTTTTATGTTTAGACTCATGCATCTTCGGCTAAAGCGACAGACCCTGAGTTAGAGGCAGTTAATCAAAGACTGGCTCGGACAAGCCAAATCAAGAGGTCTGAGCCAAATACAAGGTAAGTCTTAGTAGTGGTAAGTGAGTAGGCTTTTATAGTACAGTAGAACTTAGCTTATTCGAATTTCAGAGGAAAGAAAATATATTTCGAACTATGGGAAGTTTAAAATGTAGAGAGTTTGATTTATAGAGGTCAGAAAAATAAAATTTGAATTGTGGAGGTCCCAGTTTTAAGTGTGGAGTTTGAGAGAATGGAGACTAATGAACACATCTTGGGGGTCGGATTGTCAGTTCATGTTTCAACAAAGATATTTTTTGTCTTACGGTAATGCAGTTCGAATTGTAGAGGTTGACTTCGAATTTTTGAAGTAACAGTTTTAATTGTGGCAACAAAATTCAAATTGTAGAGGCTGTATTAAGCTTAAAACTACTTTGTACTATCGGTATATTATTTTTTTAATTTTAGAGGTTTTGTGAGGGGAACAGACAAACATTTCTAATTATATAGGTTTTCGAATTAGCGAGGTTCTACTGTATAGGTACAGTTTATGACTTGGCATAGTGAAAAATATAACACTTAAGTTCCAGAACATAAAAAATTGACGATGAATGTTTTTTACAGAGTGAAAATTATTTCAAGTGTTGCAGTCAGAAGAGATGTGTCTATTCTGTTTCTTCCTCTCTAATATAGTTATTTGTGCAACTAGTGAGAAAAGGGAGCAATTGACTCACTCGAGAGAAATACTTACTCACGAGCCGTAGGCGAGTGTGGAATGGTTTCTTGAGTGAGGCAATTGCACTTTGCACTCGAGTTGTACATTATATTTTTCCTACAGTTACCATAAAACAAATAAATGGTAAAGAAATGTGACATATTTTTACACAGAAGTGAACTTTTAATATTACATTTAATGATACAACAGCTGACCAGCTGATTTACAGCCAGTGCTGCCAACGTATTTTGCGCGCATACGACCTTGTCTGCATGTTACACGCTCACTATTTCGTGCCTTCACGTTGCAAATCTGGAGTGATTGAGACAAAGTAATTAGAGTGAGACAATGTTAACATTGTCTCACTGATGAGCGAATTGGCCACTTTGCTTTCTAAAATCAGTGAGAGAACATGTACATTGTTAGGTAACTGTAGGAAAAATATTTTGCCAACAGCCGATCAATTTGTCAATGTTTTAAATCTATGCCAGTCTACAGACCAAAAATATTGTTACAACAATGTACATTGCCATATTGTACTATAGTTTTTCAATTTTTTTTAGGAACAAATGGGACAATATTCCTGGTTCTGGAGCCAAGCAACACCCAACACTTGGAAACAAAGACCAAGGATAGTTATTTTTAATTTAACAATTTATTCTTTTACTTTACAAAATTAACACCTAAATTTTAAAAGCTAGCTTTGGAAAATAAATATGTGTGTTTTAAAAATAAAACTATATTTCAACAACTCTTTTGTTTCAATTGATTAATATTTACAATTTGTCCAAGGTAGGCCTATATTGCTATTTTTGGTTTAAGTAGTGAGAAAATATTAGTCTTAAGATATATTTATGTGACCCTATCAAGCATATCGAATGTATTAAGAGAATTAACTATCACTGTAGGTGGCACGATCAGACCTAGACCCGGGACTGATATACTTTTTCATTTTGATGTCCTTAGAGGCCAAAAAAACTATTCATTCAAATTGTTATATATATATAACAACTATATATGTGTCCGTGAACGTGATAACTCAAGTAATTTTGTCTGGATTTGGCTTGAAGGTGTAGGGCAGGATAAACTTGAATGAGTTCCCGAACCAGCATGATCAGACTATGGGAACAGGGTGTTATGGGGTTTTTCTAATTTTTGACCCTCAAAACATAAAAATTCCCAATTCTTCTCTAAACCATTTTGAATAGCTTAAAAATATAAAAATAATTTAGTACATTAAAGTGTTTGTACAATTATTGGTAACGGAGAAAAAAAAAAATTCAAAATTTCCTTGTTAATCTTTTGGAAGATACTGTAAGTAAACTGTTTTACGTAGTTTGATTGCTTAATGCTTATGGATATATTTTGAGAAGAATCTGGCAAAATAGCAGGAATCCAATTGATAAACATTTTAATAGGTCATCTTAACATTTAAAGCGGTTGTTATATAATATCAATAATCACTGGTATGAGAAGTACATCAGTGAGAAGTACCCGATCTCTATCACCTATGGCGAAGCCTAAGATTATTAACTATGGGGAGTGGGTCACCGGAAGACTGTCCCCCGGACAACTACCCCCCCCCCCCCCAAGCAGGTTCCTACGTCATGTTAACATCAGAGATCGGGAGGGGGGAGAGTTTTCCAGTCACGGAAACACAAGTTTCGTTGTCAAACTGTTCTAATATCAAACGGAATTACCCAAATTAAAAATTACTATTACATAGCATCATATTTTGCTAAGGGGGTGGATAGCATTCCAGTCGCGAACACGGCTCCCATATTGGTAAGTTGGCAGATTTCGCGACGTCTTGTTTCACCGGGGGAGCCTGCATTTCCTGGTGAGTTATGAAACGACCTAAGCTTTAAATTAACTTTTTTTTAAAGTCTAATTGCCTGGGCCAAATGTAACACAGAGAAGCCTTTGCTCAATACTTTGAGGATGTGTTCAAATCAAATGCAGAAGTAAACAACGAGGAAGAGATATTTGAGTATTTGTAGTCTCCATTACAACTTGACTTCTCATTGCAGAAGTAAATATCATCGTAGGTGAAATCAATCATCGTCAACGATCTTCATTCTGACAAGGCTCCTGGTTACAACCTCATAACTGGCAAAATATTTATAGAGCTTCCACAAAAAGGAATTAAGTTTTTACCATGTTATTTAATACAATGTTAAGACTGGAATATGTACCAGCTCATTTCTAAAGGGTACAATCAATTGTCATCCCAAATCCTGGGAAGCCTCATGAACAGGTAAGTTCATACCGACCTAAGTCTTTTACCAGTAATTCCCAAGGTATTTGAACTGGGTTCCCACAAAAATATCTTAAGTGACGTGAGTGTATTAACAGAATTCCCTGACGGAATTCTGTTAATTTCCCTGACCACAGCACATTTTAGGTACTGTGAGTTCTCAATATTTAGGTATAAGCTTTGACTATTATCCAATAGACAATGGTATAAGGTAAGTATTTATCGTTTAAAAAACTACTTATTTTTATTTAATACGGCCTCCGCCATTACACCTAATTTTAGTGAATTTTCCAAATGGGGAATAAGCTGTTGCCGCAGGTCTCTTGATAAGACCTAGACCACCAACCGATTTACTTTTTTGTTTTGACAAATTTGTTTATTTCATATTAAGCGTTCAAGATTTGAATAAAAAACACTCATTTTATTTTCTGTAGCAACACACCAACCTATTGTTGTGCAGAGTGTGGGAAACCTTTGTGTCAGTTAGATTCAGGCCCACTTTTATAAACGGGCAGACTGCGCATATGCCCAGGGGCACCGGAGGTTTAGGGGTGCCCCCCAACCACCGCCCGCCCGCACTAGGAAAAAAGGGGGCGCTGCTTTTGGGTTTGACCAGGGCTTCACTGACCCTTAACGCTGCCCTGGTTAGACTAATGTATCGGCAATCCTAAAATGCTATGGGAAGGAAGGGAAGAGGGAATTAGGTCCACGAGGTAGGAAGGGGAAAAGGAAGTAGTGAAGGCTAGCAGTGCAGAGTGGGAACCGTTTGTGGCAGTTACATTAAGGTCATGGAAGGAAGGGAGAAGGTCCACGACATAGGAAGTGGTGAAGGAAGTAGTAAAGGTGCTGAGTGTGGGAACCGTTTGTGGTATTAAGATTAATGTATCGGCTATCCTAAAATGCCATGGGAAGGAAGGGAAACAGGTCCACGACGTAGGAAGAGCTGAAGGAAGTAGTAAAGGCTAGCAGTGCAGTGTATGGGAACATTTGTATTTTGTATTATATCCATAAACATTTTTTTATATTTATTGTTTCATTAAAAACCATGAAACATGATTGCTACGCTCAACTGGTTTTCACTGCTATAAAAGCAAACCTAGTTTTCAAGTCGAGGCTTGCTTTTTATTAGAACATTAGATGCTAACTTACAGTATTTCCACAGACTATATCTGGCATCTTAGTTTCAGATCAATTCTGACCAAGTAGGCAAGGTTTTTAAATTTATCTATCAACTGATTTGTTAACAACTCAAATGATTAAGTTAGGCCTAAGTTAGATAGCCTTAATTCAAAGGCTTCGAGCTTGTTTTTTAATGTTAACCTAGTTTTTTTTTATTTTACTGGTTACAGCCAAGTAGTTATCAAAATTAATTGGGATAGCTCTAAGTGTAACCAACTAAGTTACTGACTGGATGTTATTGAAATGAAATCGTTAGGCCCTAAGTTATGCATACATCATTTAAAATTTAAAGGTGTTTTGTCACAGTGTCATATTTTCACTAATGTAAATGTCCCACACCCACAGTTAAAAATAGTTTTAAGGCCTAACTTACTTGAGTTTAAGAGCTAACTTAACTTATTAAATTAATAAATTATGTTCACTTAATTACTCTCAAGAGTTAAACTGACGTTCTAACATCCACTTAACTTAATTAATCAAACTGTAGGCCTAATTATTACAAAAAACCTTATTGCAAGTAAATTAATGCTTCTTAACCTAACTCAACAGTTGACAAATCAAGTAGCAGACGAATTTGATTACGCCTGCTCTCTGTCTCTCCGCTCGCGAGTCGCGAGAAACGGTGACGTCATCATCTTCATCCCGGGTCTGTCTGGCGCGCCGCTTGTGGAGCAAATTTGAACTAATTAATGACGTCATCGTCCTACTACGAGTCCTCCCCCCATCGCGACCGAATTCTACAGCAAACAAAACAACAAATCATTACATTACAAATAGTGATGGGCGATACGGACGCGTATCGCGATACAGCGATACGATACGTATCGGAAAAAAATATCGTATCGCCGTATCGAATCGGGCGTCTGTATCGCGATACGCGAATCGTATCGTCAAAAATATCGAAAAACGATACGTATCGTATCGTTTCCCCCCTCCCCTACCTAACCTAGAAACGGCAAATTTATATAAGTACCTGGGGACCAAGCTTTGCTCGGGGGAAATCATTAGTTTACTCTGAAAACAGTCTTAGTATTGCAGATACATTAATCCATTTCCACACTCCACACTGCTCGCCTTTACTACTTCCTTCACAACTCCCTACGTCTTGGACCTGTTTCCCTATCCTTCCCATAGCATTTTAGGATTGCAGATACATAAATGTAATTGCCACAGACAGTTCCCACACTCTGCACTGCTATTGCTAGATAGCACGCTATAGTTCGGCCGCATAGAAAACGACCTGCGTGCTAATGCTAAACCAATGCTAGAGGAGGTCGCTTTCTAAGCGGCCGAACTATAGTGGAAATGGACTGGACTGGGATGGGACTGGTACATTATCAAGTAAAAACCAAAAATACAGACGTAAAAAACTCCTATTTCAAACTACGCATCCACAGAGTACAGATTTTGCAGTTTGCTCGGCCTGCGCAAAAAAAGCTTAAAAATATCGTTTTGACATGAATCGTATCGCTCTATGTGCCGATATAAATACAAATATCGTTTTAGGCGATACGATACGTATCGTTTTTCAAATATCGTATCGAAATATCGTATCGTCCCTCGCGTATCGCGATATTCCGATACGATACGATACGTATCGCACATCACTATTACAAAACAAATTACAAAATCCGTCGCGCGCGGCGCGACCAGTGGTGGCCAGTTTACTCACGGTGTGGATTTATTTATTTATTAACCAACAAATTGCCCATTTTGAGGGAAAGTACACGATTTATGTAAAATGTACCTATGACAACTAACTTGTTGAGTAGGCTACACAAGTAGTGAAAATAAACTATGGAAGCAACAAGAGTATCAAGATTCAAGAACAAGACATAACCTCAAATCAGTTAACGTGTGCTGATATTTTGTTTAGTGTGTGTCACTGTTAGTTTAGAGTTGTTATTTTTGTGACTGGGTATTGGCATAACCTACACCGAACATCTTTTCACGTTTTGATCCTTGGAGTATGTAAGTATAAGTCACTATACCTAGTAACATAGACGTATTTTAGGCCTTGTCCTTACCTAGACCTAAGTTAAGCTACTGTACAAATTAAATTGGCCAACTTATCATTCCTAATGCCTTAACTTAAGTATAAATAGATAAATCTGAAACCTCAAAATAGGCAATCTGTTTTAGAGGAAGTATTTTTCTGCATACTAATTAGGCCTAGGCGTAAGCTACTAAGTTAGGCGGCTTGCTTAGTTCTTACTGAACCAGTAGTTTATTTAGCTTCAAAGGGCAACTTCCGGATGAAAATAGTGTTCAATATATAGGCTAGTAAGTAGGACTAACTTACTGGTT